CTAAAGCACAGCTGTCATTTTAGGGGCTCCAGGTGGCGTGGTGGGAAGGGCGCTGGACTCCCACATGGTCCCGAACAAGGTTCGAGTCCCAGGCGTGGTGGCTTGCTTCCTGACTTTCTCTCTCTGTGGCTCTCTCTGGTGAGCGCACGTGCCCTATAGCAAATTAAAAATAATAATAATATATAACATTTAAAAGATAAAATTTTAAAACTGTCACTTTAAAAATTCTGGTGATCAGGGGACCAGCAGTGGGCTATGTCGCTGGACTCCCACGTAGTCGACCGCAGTTTGAGTCCCGAACCCGGTGGCTTAAACTCAAGCCAGGCGCGTGTGCGTGCGTGCCCAAGATCCCGAGAGGAGAATGGAGGAGAAGGGATTGCGGCATGGCCATCCCCTGGGGGGTGATTTCTCGCTTTCTGTCTCTCTGTCTCTCTCTGTCTTTCTGGTGAGCGCATGTGCCCTATAGCAAAAATTTCTCTCTCAAAAAAAACCCAAAACCCTACAAATAAAGGGGCTGACAGGGGACAGGTGTTATGGTGGTTAAGGGTGCTGGACTCCCACATGGCAGGCACGGTTTGAGTCTAGGACTTGGGGGCTTGCTTTTTCACGTTCTCTTTCTCTGGACAAATTTAAAAATAATAATAATAAATAGCTTTTTTATTTTAAAAGACATTTATTTGTTATGGTTTTCAAGCCACCAGGTCCAGGACTTGAACCACGGTCGCCTCTGTGGGAACCCAGCAGTTTAATCACCACACCATCTGCTGGCCCAAATAAAATCTATTTTTTTAGAGACTTTTGCCAGAAGGCGCATGTGCTCACTGGAGAGAGAGAGCGAGACAGACACAGTGAGAGGGAAAGTGAGAAATGGACCCCGGGTGGCCACGCAGCGGCCCTTCTCGTTCTCCTCCTGGGCTCTTGGGCACCTGCAGACACACATGCCTGGTGTAATTGTGAAGCACAGGATCTGGGACTGTTACGGCAGGCAGCCACGTGGGGGGGCGTCGACGCCCTCTGTTGGTCCCATAAAATCATTCTTTTTTAAAACTATAAATAATAATGCCTATTAAAACCTTCATTATCCGAAGCCAGTCTCCCACACCTGCCACAAATCCCCACCTGAAAGATGACCTTTCCCCGCCGCCACCTTGCAGGCGAGGAAGACCCCTCCTCTGCAGTCAGCGTTCCCCACGAAGGAGCGCAAAGTCGGGGGTGGCTCGCCCACGCCCGCCCCTCGCCCTTCCAGTTAGAGCCGCCGCATGTGAGAGCGCTCCTGCGGGTCCGCTCCAGCACCCCTGACACGCTGAGCCCCCGTGCTGCCCAGAATTTCAATCCTGCCTTTGCTTTTGCGGGATTTCATCTCCCCCCAAAAAAACCCACGAAACAAACAAACAGAAACCAAAACCAAAACCGAAACCAACACACACTTGGGGAATGTGAAAAACCGCACCTGGCTGCCTCTCATAAGACCGCAGACATGGGCGTTCGCGTGGACAGCTTTCCCCACGGATGGGGCCGATTTCCAACAAGCTCCACCCACAACCCGGAGTGACCAATAAGATGCAACCTTCGCAGCCACGCCCACCGGTAACGGCAAGCCTCTTCCGGTCTAAAGCACCTAACCCAGTGCTCCGCACCCCTTCCCCAGTTAGCTGGCCTGGGACTTGAAATTAAAAGTGTGAGTGTATGTCGATGCAAAAAGCGTTGACGTCCACCTGTAGGTGTTGCTAAGGTGCATTTTTCAAGAAGTGTCCCAAGACCCTGCATATTACAACTATGCTACCAGGGCCAGCAAGTGGCCTAGTGATTAGGGTGCTGGACTCCCACGTGGCCAACCATGGTAGGAGTCCTGGACCCAGTGGCTTGAAACTCATGCCAGGCGTGTGTGCACGCATGTCCAAAATCCCAACAGGAGATTGGAGAAGGGATCGCAGTGTGGCCATTAGGGGGGGGGTGATGCCTCTCTCTCTCTGTCCTTCTCTATGCAGGAAGAGAGGACATGCCTTAAGGCAACATCTCTCTCAAAAGCAAAACGAACAACCACCTACGCTACCATTTTTTATTAGGTTTCTATCTTTCCTTTTTAAAATAATTATTTATTTTCTTTTATTTATTCATTCTTTTTTAAAAAAACATTTTTTTGAGAGTTGTTTTGGAGAGTTTTTGTTTGTTTATTTTTTTGCTATAGGGCGTGTGCGCTCGCCAGAAAGACAGAGAGACAGAAAGTGAGAAATCACCCCCCCCAGGGGGGATGGCCACACCACAATCCCTTCTTCATTCTCCTCTTGGGATCTTGGGCATGCACGCACATGCACCCAGCGTGAGTTTAAGCCACCGGGTCTGGGACTCGAACCGCGGTCAACTACATGGGAGTCCAGCGACATAGCCATTAGGCCAACTGCTGGTCCCCATTCATTTCATTTTTAATTTGACCAGAGAAAGACAGAGGGTGAGGGTGAGAGAGGAAGTGAGAAAGCAAGCCACCAGATTTAGGACTTGAACCCTGGTCAGCCATGTGGGAGTGTCCAGCCCCTTAACCACCACGCCACCTGCTGGTCCCCAGGTTTCTATCTTTCTAAACATATGTCGGATGTTAAGGCGGCTGGATCCCACATGGCTCGCTGTGGGGTTTGAATCCTGGACCTGGCAGATTGAAAATCATGCTGGGTGCATGTGCGTGTGTGCCCAGAATCCCAAGAGGAGAGTGGAGGAGAGGGGACTGCAGCGTGGCCATGTCCCCAAAGAGTGATTCCTCACTTTCCCTCTCTCTTTCTGGCAAGCACATGCGTCTTATAGCAAAAACTAAAAGCAAAAACTGTCGCTGACATAAATTTTTAAAAGGGTTTTGCCATAGGGTGCATGCTCTCACCAGAGACGGAGGGAGGGCGAGCGAGCAATCCCCTCCCCAGGGTTGGCCCTGCCTGCTGGCCCCAAGGGACATCATTTCTGAAGGTCAGAGCCCTGCCTCCGCGTTCCTCAAGCCCCGTTTTCCAGGCTGAGCGTGTGCACAGGGGACTGTCTGGAATATGCAGGCATCGCAGCACGGGCTGTGTGAGCCAGCCTTACCCAACTCAGACCAGGCTGGCGGGAGGTGGAGCAGGGCTAGGAGGGGCCCGCCGGGCCAGCCATCAAGAACATCGGTGGCAGGACCAGCAGTTAGAGTAATGACTATGTCGCTGG